TTGTTAATTTGATTGTTGATAAAATTTATAAATATTGTTATTTGTTGAAAAACCCATTACAGTTTAAAAATGATTTATTTAACATTAGGCAAGTACTCTGTCAAAAAACAAAACCGTTCACGTGAAGTAAACAAAAATTTTTTTTTAATTTTATTTTTTTAACTTTATAACTATTCTAAAGCTTTTGTTAAATAAACACAGATCTTTTAATAATTAAATTACTTGTTTACGTATTCTTTAACTTATCTACTACTTAACACCTATCTGAAAATAGTTTTAGTAGGCTAAGAATAGAATTTAACATTTTGCCCCAGCCATTTAACTTTTCACCCCACCATAGCGTGAAGAGTTAAAAAAAACAAATTTTCAAAAGAGGACAAAACTTGTATTTTATGCGAAAATATCAGAAACTTTTTTATTGAAAGTTGTAGGGGACAAGTTGCCCTACAATATTGATATATAAATATTTGCATCTAAGCGGATTTATTGTCTAAAATAATCATTTATGCAAAATTTAACTTTTCGCCCCAGTCTCCCCTACTTTATACTTATTCCCTGTTTTTTCCATGGTTTCCAGAAAGTGTAGCTACACTGTTATATCGTTTTAATACAATTCTCTATATTATTAAAAAAAAATGGAAAAAATTTTCACGGTTTCTGTTTCTTAATAAAAAATTGTAATTGGTAAATCAAAGCAATTAAATTTTTTTCCGTTTTTAAATAAATTAAAAATAATTGATTATTTTAATAACATTGATAAAAATTGTCTTTGGCAAATCAAGGTTATTACACTATTTTCAAAAAAATGTACAACATTTTTTATTTTCATCGTTTTTAACTTATTGTTTTTATCAGTATTATTTGAATACTAAATACTTAAAATTTTTATTTAAAAATATGATTCGCAATAATAATGAAAATATTTTAATTATACGAGATATGCAAAAAAAGATTTTTAAATTAACCTGCCTTTCTTCTGTCAACCAATAAAATCACATGTAACTTAAGAGAAAGATTTTTTTTGTATCAGTAGTTGGCCGTTTAGCTTAGTTGGTTTGGTTGGTTGTTTTGTTTTCGTTTCCCGCGTTCAATCGTCAGTCCCTCCAAATTGTTTTTCACAATAAAAAAAACTTTCTCCAAAATTCATAACTTCCCAAAATTAATTAGAATAATAATGAAATAATAAAATAAACAAAATAAATTTTTTTCTTTTATTATAATATTATTTTTAATATTTAACAAATATTTGTCTTATTTTTTTGAGCAAATTTACATCCATAACCTATCTAAAATTATCAGTGATAATTTCCGAACTTATCACAGATAACTACTAGATAATTCGCTGCGAATAAACATTTCAACTTTTCAGCAACTTCCCAGAGAATTCGCTCTGCGAACTCGCAAAAGGGTGGACATTTAGTTTTCGCCTGAAGTTCGCAGGGAGTTCGCAGTGCGAACTCCCGAACTTTGAATTGCAAACTCCCTGCGAACTTCCTGCGAAATGTTCTGTTATGTGGGCTGTTATTAAGGGGCGAATTGAATTGTTAAATCAACGTTGGACTGTTGCTCAAGCATTGGACTTGAAAATTCAAGTTTCAGCAAAAAATGAGGATAGAAAAAAATATGATTATTTTACTCAAGCGCTGTTTTTAAAATTAGAAGAAGCACTTAGATTATCTGCACTAGATTTAGCTCTCGTTTTTGTGACAACGTGCATCCTTCCCTGTTAATCGCCTTGACTGTCGGCTAGTGAATACTGTGAGATTACGCTACGGATATCGACGTAAGTTAAATAAATGTGTAATTAAGTAATTCCGTTGTCAAATTAATATCCTTCCCTCCCCTTTTTCCCTTGAAATAATTAGCCATTCGGGCAGCTAATTATAAATTGGCGCCCAACGTGGGGCGCCAATTTATAATAGGAGGCCCAGATCTCCAGTTATAATTAAGGGAAAAGGGGGAGGAAGGAGATTAAAAGGAGATACGTTAGTTAAAATAAAAACTATTTATTAAACTTACTCCATCTCACTTACACTTAGTCACACAACAAGCCGAGACACGGGACCGATTCACAACGTAACGAGAGCAATTGACAAGTGTCGCGTCTGTCCGCGAATCTGGCGATTGACACCCTCGAGGCCCTTCGGCCGTTTCCGGGTTCAATCGCCCGATTTGCAACAGACGCGGGAGAATTCGTAACGCCACGTTACATAGTTTACCTGAGTTTTTAGGAGATTATGGGGAATGGGAAAATTTTCGTGACTTATTTAATGCTCTTATTATCAAGAATGTCAGTTTGTCTAATGTTACTCGCCTTCATTATTTGAAAACTGCTTTAATGGGAGAAGCTTCTCAATTTGTTAAACATATTAGGGGAGAGTCTCCAGTTGTGAGACACCTCCAGTTGTGAGACAGTCAGTTTTTTTTAATATGCAATATTAAAAAGCCGATTGGCTTATATAAAAACATTTCTTTTTATATGAGCCAACTTTTTCGTGTACGCCGAAGCGGATATATAAACTGTTTTTGTTAATTACCAACACTGTGTGTGATAATCGACTAAAAAGCGTTTTTTTAATAAATGCAAAGTACTTTTTTTCCAAGTTAATTAATTGGAAAAGGTAAATGTAATGCATTTTCTTTTAGTGTTTTCCTTATATTTTGTGATGCAATATTGCATTGTTCCAATCTGCAATTAAAAATAATTTAATTTTCTTTTTTCAAAATAGCGCCAATTTCTGGGTGTGAGACACAGCATATCACCAGTTGTGAGACGGTGTCAACACCCATCTGGGCAGCATAAAAAATACGACTTTGCAGGCATACTATTTAAATGTTGTTTTGATTTTTTTTCTAGTATTTTTGGGCATGTCAAGTGGAAAAAAGTCAATTGATTCAGAAGAAATCAATTTTAATGCTCTTGTTGAAGCTATTAAATTGTGTTTATTTGATAGTCACATTTTGTCGAATTAATATTATTATTTAGTATATAATAATATATATTATTAATATATTTAATTATTTCTACTAAACATAACGTTTTATTTTAAACTTATTAAATTTTAGCAATTTTTAATGAATGTCTCACAACTGGAGACATTTTTTTTTTTTTTAAAGCGATATGCTCGGAAAATGTATCGTCAAATTTTTTGAGTTCATCGAAACACTACACTTTCTTTTAATAAAAGTTGCGTATTTCTGTTACCTTTTGAACGGTGTATTTTATTTACAATTTCGTTTACCCGTTTACAATTTACTGGTCAAAAATAAAACCCGTCTCACAACTGGAGACTCTCCCCTACTATAACTGATGCTAATTTTTTGAACGCGTGGGAAATTTTGTCAACTCGTTATGAAAATAAACGTGCTCTTATTACTGCTTATATTCAGTCATTTATGGATATCTCAAATGTAGTTAATTCTAATTGTGCAGAAAGTTTAAAATTACTTCGAGATAGTACGAATGAAGCCTTAGCGGCTCTTAAAAATTTGAATAGACCAGTAGATCAGTGGCATGATTTGTTAGTTTTTGTAATTTCTAGAAAGCTTGATTCTCAGTCACTTAAGGAGTGGGAGATGCAATTAGGCTGTAGTTCGGATTACCCTACATTTAAGCAACTTGATGATTATTTATCTACTCCCAGTGATGATGGAGGTGTAGAGTCATCTGCGGTGGGAGGTTGTCATGCATCTTTGAAAGATAATAATGTAGTTACTGGATTAAATTCACGTTCTAAATCTTCTGGTGGTACAATTCTAGCAACGGCTTTGATAGATGTCAAAGTTAATAACGGAAAAACTCATAAATTTAAAGTTTTATTTGACCAGGGTTCAGAATGTTGTTTTGTGTCGGAGAGAGCAGTAAAGATCTTGAAACCTAAGTTTGATATAATTAATATGCGAATTTATGGAATTAGGGGACAATCGGTTGGCATTGCAAAAAAGCTGGCTCATTTTAAATTTTTACCAAAAGAAAAGGGTTGTAAACCTCTATCGTTGCAATCTCTTGTTTTATATCAACTAACTTCTTATCACCCACCTACTTTACCTGACCACATTTCAAAATCAGATTTAGCAAACCTGTTTTTAGCAGATCCTGTTCCATTTGAGGAGTTGTATCGAAGAACTCGCTCGACGCTCGAACAAAAGGGATAATACCAGCCAGGTAGCAGTGAACGACCCACAGGCCCTCACTGCTGCCTGACTGGTATTATCCCTTTTGTTCGAGCGTCGAGCGAGTTCTTCGATACAACTCCTCATTTGGTAAAGATCCTGTTGATTTTATTTTAGGCGCAGACAAATTGGGATCGTGTTTACTGCCAGGACTTAAACATAATGTTCTTTGCAATTTGACTGCGCAAGCTACAATTTTTGGTTGGATTATATTAGGTTCGTGTAATTCTTCCTTCTCTTCTGCGGTATCTTCCCTTAATACTAATACTAAAATTTCTACGGAAGATTTGTATGATGCTCTTGTTCGTTTCTGAAATTTGGAAGAAGTTCCTTCTACTTCTTCCTTGACTGAAGAACAAATTAAATGTGAACAACATTTTGTTTCAAATTTTGAACGGTTGTCTACGGAAAGGTATATGGTTTGACTACCATTTAAAAGTGGTCCACCTATAGATATTGGTAGGTCCTATGGGAGAACAAAAATGATATTAGAACGAGTTTTGCGTCGTTTAATGGAAAACAAAAAACAGTTTGAAATGTTTAAGGAATTTTTTCGAGAATACAGTGAATTGGGTCATATGTGCTTGGTGGAAGAGGATGAATTTATTGATTGTTTACAAATTGTTTATTTACCACACCATATTATATTTCGAGAGAGTAGTTTAACTACTAAATTAAGAGCTGTTTTTAATGCTTCCAGTCTCACATCTAACAACATATCTTTAAACTCTCATTTGCATATAGGTCCTCCACTATTGAATAATTTGATTTCTATTCTACTAAAGTGGCGCAAGCATTGTTATGTATTTGTAGCCGATGTAGAAAAAATGTTTCGACAAATATTAATTGATCCAAAACATATAGATTATCAGCGTATCTTGTATAAATATTCAGAAGGGAAATTTTGTGCTTATCAATTACTTACTGTCACTTATGGTACAGCATGTGCACCATATTTGGCAAACAGAGTGATAAAAAAATTAGCACAAGATGAGGGTATGAATTTTCCATTGGCTAAATCTATTATTGAGGAGGATATTTACGTTGATGATGTTTTCTTTGGTGGGGATGACCTTGTAACTGCCAAGAAAACAAAGGATCAAGTAAGTTATTTAATGATGAGTGGGGGGTTACATTTGCGTAAATGGGCATCTAATAACAAATCATTGTTGAGTGGCTGTATCTCAGAGAAACATGAAAAAGCATTGGATAAGGAATCTGCTGAAAACTCGCCTTTGAAAGTTTTGGGCTTGGGTTGGGATCCAACATCAGATTGCTTTCGAATTGGAGTAAGTCTTGATTCTATTGAAATTCCTACTAAAAGGACTGTTTTGTCAGTTATAGCAAAGTTGTATAATCCTCTTGGTTGGATTTCTCTAGTTATTGTTACAGCTAAGCTTATCATGCAGGAGTTATGGTTGCGCAAATTAAATTGTGATGAAAAGTTACCTAATGATTTGATGAAACAATGGTTTGAGTACTATAATCAGTTAGAGGTGTTAAAAAATTTGGAAATACCACGATGGATTGGTGCTGTAATGAAAAATTCGAATAGTGATTTGCATGGATTTGCTGATGCGTCTAATCAAGCCTACGCTGCAAATGTTTACCTTCGTGTTGTTGATGAGTTAAATAAGGTTCACGTCACACTTTTAATTTCAAAGTCTAGAATTGCTCCTATCACTTCAGTTAGCATACCTAGGTTAGAATTGTGCGCTGCTGTTCTGTTGTCTAGAATTATGAAATTTGTTCTCGAAACTTTAAAGATGCAGAGCCTTCCTCATTATTGTTACACTGAGTCATGTGTGGTGTTGGCATGGTTAGACAAGCATCCTTCTCATTGGAAACCTTTTGTAGCAAATAGAGTAGCTTTAATCGATGAATTAATACCAAAAGCTAAATGGCTTCACGTTTCTGCTAACAATAATGCATCAGATTGTGCATCTAGAGGCTTATTGCTAATGGACATAATGGGTAATTCCTTGTGGTGGGGAGGGCCTGATTGGCTTTCTCAAAAATCGAGTAAAATGGAAAAGTTCACACTGGAATCTACTGACTTGGAAAAGAAAGCGATAAAATCTCATTGTGTGCAGGTTGAACGGAATTTTCATCATGGCCTAAATTATTACGTGTTGTGGCTTACTGTTTTCGATTCATTAATAAATTAAAGGGATCTAAATTAAAAATTATTGATGAAAATTCTTGCCTTACTGTATTTGAAATTGAACAAACTCGTTTATTATTTATTAAATTAATACGAAAGGAATCTTTTTCATCTGAAATAAAATATATTAAGAATCAAAGAGCCTTGTCTATGAAATGCAATATTAAAAATTTGAATCCCTTTATAGATTCATCTGACGTGCTTCGTTTGGGGGGTCGTTTAAAAAATGCTCTTATTCAATACAATGAAAAGCATCTGATTATTCTTCCAAAAAATGAAATTAGTGCATTGATTGTATTACATGCTTATCATAGATGTATACATGGTGGACTTCAGTTGACCTTGCACACATTGAGACAAAATTATTGAATACTTGGAGCTCGTTCTCTGGTAAAATCTACTATTGATAAATGTGTTGTATGTGTCAGACAAAGAGCAGCTGTCAGTCAACAGCTTATGGGTGATTTGCCTGACTTTCGTGTTACTCCTAGTCGTCCGTTTAGTCATACAGGAGTCGACTACGCAGGTCCTTATGATGTTAAATTGAGTCCAGGTAGAGGATGTAAGACACGTAAAGCATATATAGCATTGTTTATTTGTTGCTGTACTCGCGCTGTACACATTGAACTTGTTTCTGATGGTTCGTCAGCTACCTTTTTAGCCGCCTTCCAGCGCTTTGTTTCTAGACGGGGCAAACCTACTAATGTCTATAGTGATAATGGTCATAATTTTGTTAGAGCTGATCGTGAGCTATCTCAATTTCTTAATGAATTAGGAGCCAATGCTGATTTGCATGACAAATTGATTTCCGAGGGAATTGCTTGGCATTTTATACCTCCTAATGCTCCTCATTTTGGGGGGCTATGGGAGGCTGGGGTGAAGAGTGTAAATTTTCATTTATGAAAAATTATAGGTCTTCAGAAATTTACATTTGAGGAATTTTATACTCTTCTTACTCGAATAGAATTCTTGAATTCTATTCTCTATTCTCTCTTGAATTCTTGACCAATTGCTCCTCTCTCGGATAATTTGGGTGATTTTGCTTATTTGACTCCTGGTCATTTTTTTATTGGTGCTCCAATCACCAGTATTCCAGAGCCGTCGCTTGAATTTTTCCCTGAAAATAGATTAACCCCTTCGCAGTCGATAACGTGTATATGTTGTAGGCAAATAAAAGAATCCGTCATTTAGCTAAACGCCTAGGCAGTTAGCTAATCGGCGCCGAATAGACGAACGAGCTTCAATATTACTATTATTCGTCTATTCGCCTGAAGGGATCATGCAATTAGCTAACTGGCTAGACATTTAGCTATTCGACAAACGCAGTTTAGGCCAATAGAAGAAAATTGTATATTCAATAAAATTTCCATTTATTGAAATATTGGAACGCTTAATTTACATGTTTTTCCAATGCTATAAAATTAAAATACTTAGGGGAGCGTGGTCCTAAGTTGGCCGTGGGCCTAAGTTGGCCACCCTGCATTTCTCAGAGATGGTATACTGGACGAATCTATAATTTTGTGGTATGATATATTGATAAACCGTGATATAATTTATGGACCTAATTATAATCTAAGATTCTTCTACGCATTGTGAGAACAATATTATTGTTTACGACCAAAAAAATTTAATTTTTCGTGTTTTTTCGAGAGCAGCTACAAGAGATAAATAATTGAAAATTTCTAAATAAGTGTGTGCGTTAGTTCCTTTATTTAATGTTGTAATAAGAGGTTCTGTTGATTTTTTAATTAAATTTTTTTATTAGCGTAATAATTTGAAACTTGTGAAAATCTACAGTGGTCCTAAGTTGGCCACCTATTGTTTTTGTTTGTTTTTATTTATGTTTTACTTCTTTTTTGTGTTTTTCATCACGAGAAAGACCGTAAAAGTGTAACGTAGGAATTAAACAAAGACAAAAAACAAAAAAATGGTTTAAAACACATTAGAAAAGACATGGTACAAAAACGCCTGTCTTCACAGTTATCCACCACTGCAAATAAATGAAATAAAACAATGCTTCATTTTCTAAACAAAAATAGTTAAATAATGCGTTTTTATTCTCCTAAATTTATCAAATTTGTAAAACTTCTGCGTAATTGACGAATCCGTTTTCAGATTTAAAAAATTAAAAATGGCGGATCCAATATGGCGGACGACATTTTCAAAAATTCATCGGATTTACTTGAAACTTGTTACTCAGGGGTTTTCGGGGTCGCTGATTACAAATATGATATCAGATTTTGAAAATTCAAAATGGCGGATTTAATATGGCGGAAGACATTTTCAAAAACTCATCCGATTCATTTAAAACTCGTTACTCGGCGGTTTTCGGGGTCGCTGATTACGAATCTAGCATCATATTTTTTTAAATACAATGTGGCGGTTCGAATATGGCTGGCGCAATTTCAAAAAATTTATCAGATTTACTAAAAAGTTATTACTTGGAATTTATTGATGTCGTAGATAAAAAATGTAATATCGGTTTTGAAAATGGCGGATCCAATATAAGAACAAACAAAAAAAAAATATAAAAAAATAAATGAAGGAGTGTAAAATCCGACCGCATACCTTCACGTAGTAAACTCTGGGGTCGTAAGTAACGTAGTATACTTAACAGCTGACTGCGGGAGGAAATTTTGTATTTATTCTCGTTTCAAAAGTTTTTCGTAATCAGCGAAAACCCTTTAGTAACGAGTTTCAAATGAATCCGATGAATTTTAGAAAATTTGATTCGCCATATTGGATCCGCTATTTTGAATTTTTAAAATCTGAAATCGGTTTCGTAATCAGCGACCCTGAAAACCCCCGAGTAAAAAGTTTCAAGTGAATTCGATGAATTTTAGAAAATGTTGTCCGCCATATTGGATCCGCCATTTTGAATTTTTAAAATCTGATATCGGATTCGTAATCAACGACCCTGAAAACCCTTGAGTAACAAGTTTCAAGTGAATTCAGTCGATTTTGAATTTTCATATCCGCCATATTAAATCCGCCATTTTGAATTTTTAAAATCTGATATCGGATTCGTAATCAGCGACTTCAAATACAATAGTATGCTCGTTTGCGCAAATTTTAGTTTTCTAAAAAGTTGTCGACATTTTGAGCCCACTTATGAGATTTTGGTCTTGACTGCGAAGGGGTTAACGCGTTGGGGATTGATTCAGCGTATTTCTGAGATTTTTTGGAGAAAATGGCGCGTTGACTATTTACAATCATAGCAAAAAAGATATAAATGGAGTACGGTTAAACCTAATATTATAGTTGGAGATTTGGTATTATTGCGAGATAATAATCTCCCTCCATCTCACTGGCTTCTTGGAAGAGTCTTAGAATGTTATAAGGGTGCAGATGATCTTGTGCGAGTTGTAAATGTAAAAACAGCCGATTCTGAATTTAAACGACCATTGAGCAAACTTTGTTTTCTTCCTATTAGGTCTGCGCATGCGAATGAATTACTTTAAAGTTGGTATGATTTTAGGTTTTGTAAATTGATTTGTGCAGTTTTGCATGGCGGGCGGTTAAACCACCTTTTTAAAAATAATTTTTAGGTAACTTTTAATCAGTTTAAATAATAATATAGGCGAGGCGAGCGGTATGTTCAAATTATAAGTTCTGTTGTGAGCAAGAATTGAATTTACTCCTTTAGGTGGGCTTAACTCCTTACTTATTTAATTTTCATACACTTGTTTCTTGTAATGTGTGATTTTATAATTGTATAGAAAAGTTAGTATGCAAAAGTGCGAGGAATGAGTCAGTCGCCTAAATTGTCGACTCTTTATTTTAATTGTTTAAATTAATGTACAATTTTCTTTTAACTGATTATTGTGAATAGTGAAAATCAGTAGTGAAGTATGTAGTGGTTTTCCGCAAAGAGACTTTTATTAATAAACATAATTGTCAATAATTAAAATGAACTGACGCATTTTAATTTATAAAACTTAACTTCCATAATCCAAAAAAAAAATAAAATTTGACAAATAATTCAAATTTAAACAGCGCCCTACTTAGGTTGCTTCGGCTATTGTCAGGGGAAAGCGGAGGGTGTCGTTTTTCAGATCCCTCTATGGATCAACAACCTTGGGCCGCGTCAATGACGACTGGTATTTTTCGTGACAAGTGGGGTATATTATTGACCGCTCCCAGGTCAATAAAGTACCCTTTATCTCCCTAGGGCAATAATGGTTACTTTACTGACCAGCTGGGTTATATGGGAGAAATTAGCATGCACCGGTACAGGTAGCATAGAGTAACCATAATACGCCTTTGTTGTATAAAGCAAAGTATGGAACAATGAAGGTACGTCCGAGTTTATGTACCGAGCACAATATTGAAAAACAAGTCGTAGCACGAGCGAAGCGAGTGCTAATGTACTATTAAAATATTTAACAAACTATTTTTATCTGTTAATATATCACTTTAAGCTATTTTATACATTTAGGGATCCAACAGCCACTTTTAGTAGTGAAGTTCTCTGATTGGTTCGAGTCTGAAAAGGAATTTCTATACTTAAATTCGATGAATATAGTTTTCACAACTAACAAAAAGCTTAAAACGAGTTTAACGCGTTGCAGGTGAAACTTTCGAGCCCTCTAAATCTACCTCTTTAAAACATCTTATTTATATTTAATAAAATAAAAAAACACACAGTCAACATGCCTAATCTAAGCTATTTTAAACAAAAATCAATGTTGAAGAATTTCATTTATGTTTAAGATTATGTCTTTCAAAAAATTAAAATTGTATGGTCATACAAAATATTTACGACAAATTTTTTTTTACTTTTTTTCTTGGTAAAATCAAAAGGAGCAAAAAGGAGCATATGTGAGTTAAAGTTTACAATCTATGGAGTAATTTGTCATATTTCTCATTTAATTTTGTGGTGGAAATCGAGGGAAACATTTATTTAAATCTAGTCACGCACGAAATTGTATCTATAAATATTTATTTAATGAGGTGTAACTTAATTTTAAATTAACTAGAAAGCTGCAATTATTGATTAACAAACTTTCATCTTATATGTGAATAAAAAAGTGCCTTATTATGCCATTTTAAAAAAATTGTAAATAAAAAAATGCGTTAAATATTCATAGAACGCTAGAAATTTAAAAAATAAAATTTATTGTTCAAAGGGTTGTATAATTCTTCCCAATTAATATAATGCAAAACTATTTTAGTGTTTGATGTAAAAAATGTATAGAAAAAAGTAATGTATATCTCATCTAATTTAAATCAAGTTAAAAAACTGCCTTTTTGGCAAAAAATTTGAGTTCCTGGCCCACTGTGTGCACCACTAAAAATTTGTCCACATAAAAGAAAATAGAAAAACCTTAATATTTATATTGAAAAGTTAAAACTTCATTCTATTTGTTCATTTTATAAAAACTTTGCTTCCACATAAGAATTTTATAAATTTAATTTTTGTTAGATGATATCGTAAATTTAATACTAAAAACACAAATTTTTTTTTTAATTTCTAATTTCCAAAAGCACTACAAATTTAAAAAAGAAGAAAAATAATTAAGGGGTAGTGACACCTTTGATGTTTTTTTTTAACCTGATTTTTATGAATTTTTTTAAGGCAGGAATAAAGTAAACAAAATTTGGATTCGAGGACTTTATTTGTTAACTTTTTAAGTTGCCAAAAATTTATTTATAATTCAAAAAAGTTTTAATATGTTGACTATAGAGGGCGCCAAAGTTGGTCTCATTTCTCTGCAGAGCAAATCGGTGAACAAGATTCCGGCTAGACCGTTTAATCTAGATAAAAATTTAAAAGTTTTCTGAACCTGTGATGGATTTAGGTTTAGAGTACGTAAGATATTTAAAAAATATTAATTTTTATGTATTTGGCAACTGTTTGAAAGAAAAAATCGATTTTTAATGCGAAAATTTTCCAAACAAAA